CCCCCACTCCCAGGGCTTTATTAATGGGTTCCTAAGTTGTCCTCCCCTCTGAGATGATCCAATCCATTTGAACTAATTCCTTCTCTCAACTGGAGACTGCATTTCATCTCCATCGCTGCGGCACTTTGATGCTTCTTATCTTTTCTAATCCTGTTCTCTTCCTCTCTGGATCCCGCGGGGAGGAAGAAGCAAAAAGGGGGTCTCCCCTGCTCAGTGCATATGACCTATGACTCTCATTAAAAGAATCTTTTTCAAGCCAGACACTGCAAACCCGTCTCACTTGCGTCTTGGGTTGCAGGAGGGAGGTGGGGGGGGGAAAGCTATTTGGAGAAGCTGTCTCCATGACAACGCAAATTCCCATCAGAAAATGTGCACAGGTCACCTGTTTCCATGAAAGTTTCTCTCTTGATGTTTCCCCACTGCCTCTCCAACAGGTGCCAGGGGAGCAGGTGCCATTTTACTGTGCCAGCAAGGAAAAGTTAGCATATCTCCAATTTTGGGAAAGGCACCTGTGGGAACGCTGACTACTGACAACTGCAGAAGTCCACAGTCCTCTGCAATGGCATGCAAAAGGAAAAGAAGCTTGGGGTCCTGATGGCACATAGCAGAGGAGGAACAACAGCATGACACCTCTGAGGGCTCAAGAGCAAACTTGAGTTAGCTGACAAGCAAAAAGGAGCTGACTGGTGACAAGCCTGGTCCCTAGTCCCTGTTCACATCAAACCACACGATTTAACAAGCGTGGCTGGATCTACTCAGCACTGGCACAGGAATGGAAGAGCAGTCAGTGGGACTAAAGTGCTCAAAACAGAGCTGTACAGGGAGCCCAGGGCTGGAATAAAGAGAAAGCCAGCAGATGGGAATCAAGGAGCAATAACAGAGCTGTGTGGAGAGCCTAGGGCTGGAATAGCATGGAGGACGAGCAGGGCACTGGCATAAAGGACTGAAATAGCACAGGGACACTGGGGGTGGGGTGGAACTGTAGGTAGGAACTGAAGTGCCTTTACAGACGTGCCTGGAGAAGCTAGTACTGCTTTTACTTGCTGTAACAGTGGCTGAAGCAAGATATTATGCCACAGTCCCCTGTCCCTTGAGCAATGAAACAGGTAATGGGTGCATTTTCAACCGGTGTTACATACACCCTCCTCAGGGTACCGCTCCCCCAGATCATCATAGAATCATAGAAGTAGGGTCGGAAGGGACCTTGTAGATCTTCAAGTCCAACCGCCCGCCTGGGCGGGAGAAAAATTGGGCTCAAATGACTCCAGCCAGGTAGGCATCAAGCCTCTTCTTAAAGATCCCCAGGGTAGGAGCCAGCACCACTTCCCTAGGAAGTTGGTTCCAGATCCTAGCCGCCCTAACTGTGAAGTAGCTCTTGCGGATGTCTAATCTAAACCTACTCTCCAATAATTTGTGTCCATTATTCCTTGTCATGCCAGAGGGCGCTAGGGGAAACAGTGTCTCCCCCAAACCCTTCTGGTCCCCCCTAGTGAGTTTATAGACAGTCACTAGGTCCCCCCTCAGCCTTCTCTTGTGACCACATCTCAGTCCTACTAGCAGGGGGTGGGGATGGGTCAAACTTGGACAAAGCCCCCAAGGACCAAAGCAGAGGATAGAGTCATTCTGGTGTAAGCAGCCCTTGTGCCAGCCACAAACGAGAAGTGAAAATGGGGGAAACTGGTAGGGACAGTTGGGAATCCCAATGAGATTCTGCCTTCTTGACCCACTGTAACACATGCTGGTGTTGCCCTCTAGCACAAGTAGGCTATGGAGGTTTTCAGGGCACAAATTCATGACAGAGCAGCAAATGAAGCCCTGACTGACCACATCACTGACATAGCCTTGAGGGCCAATGATCTGGTCAAAGATCCAGGAGAGGGCCACGGCCTCTGGGTTCTGCTCTCATCTCCACTACCAACTGGCTCATAATCCTGGCCCAAAGTCACCTAAATCTCTCCGTGCACCCGTGTTTCCCAGCAGTATATGATGGCTACTTTCTTTCATAAAGTGCTTTGAGATCTATGAATGGGAAGTGCAACATAAGACTTCAGTAATTACTGGGGGTGAAAAGTGTGTGGGCCTGCTGTGTGCTGTCCTCCAACCAAAAGAATATTTGATCCTGGCCAAAGGCTCAGGAAATGGTAGGGAGATGACCTCTGATTTGATTTTCACCTCCACTTCACTCTAGGGACAATGAATAACTACTCGGATTGACAGCAGTGCTCTACCCCACATAAGGGGGTGTGCAATATAAACCCCAAAGCAATATATGTCTCTGACTTAAGATTCCCAACATGGATGCTACCTGGTGACACTGTGCACAGACCTGAGGTGTGGGGGAGCAATGCCTGAACAGACATTCCTGCCTTGCCAATTCAAAAGGGAAAGGCTGAGTTTAGGACGTCCCCTGTCCTCCATTTTTTCTGAACATGCATCATTCCCGAAAGCTGGATTTTTTTTTTTTTTTAACAGAAAGGCAGCTCTCTCATTAAAAGCTGCCAGGTGTTCCCAGCACAATCTGTGGCTCCCTTTTTAGCTCTAATGATTTCATCTCGCATGTGACAGATGCGCTCTTCAGGACCTTTCCTGGAGCAACACAACGTCATCTCTGCACCATCAAGCACCGATTTAACAAACCTGATGCTCCCCAGCCACCCCAACCCTCCTCCACACACACACATACACACACACATACTATGCCCACAACTTATCACAGGGTAGCAGACACACATCACTCATAGAAGAGCCAAAGAACTGGTCTCCTGCACTGATTACACTGCTGTCCTCTAGCACTGAACATTTCCAGGAAGAGGTGATAAGAGGGCTGAGCTACAAACACAAAACTGGAAGGTAGGTACTGTACCCTCCACATCCTCCACCAGTCTTCAAACCCCATACTTTTAGCAACAGGATGTGGGCACAAGTCAACAGACAGACTAACCCATTCATGGAGATAAGCACACCTCCTGCTGGCTACAGTAGGAATCTGCCCAAGCACTGAACAGAATAGAAAAAGCTGTTTCCCACAGCCCTTAACATACCCCACTGCAGATCGTGGGCTGGTGCTAGCGCTTGGGTATCAAATTTGCAGGGAAAAAACAGGCTGAAGATACTTTTCACAGTTTCCCACATGGCTGGGATTTTTGCCAGGACTGGGAAGTATATAAATAGCCATTTCAAGATGAGCAAATTCAAGTGCCTGCATTTGATGGCAGGATGCCACAGAAGAACATGTGCTCTGGCCTTTCCCAACTTCGAGCTAAGCTTCAGCATCCTACACAGGCCCCAAGGTCACAAGATGCTATCATCACAGTCTCCATTTATCACCATGAGCCAAGGCTGGCAACTACTGCTCAAGACAGGCCATAGGGAGGTGGTTCCTATCCTGCTCTGAACAAAGTTTAGAGACACTGATAATAGACTAGGTTTGACCCATTCTAGGATTTGCTTTCATTGTTGAGTTAAATCACAACAAAATGTAAATTTCATTTCCAACTGGGCTGTGCCCAGGGGTTTCTCTTTAAGGCTTCCTCCATCCCTGACCCCAACTCTCTCTCCATTCGGAAGCATACACTCCCACCTGAATCTGTATAAGTCATCAGAAGAGCCCTACATCTACCTTCAGGTCTCAGTGCCTGAGAACCTACTACAAGACCCACAAGGACTACAGCTCAGGACTGAGGTGCCCTAACAAGGCAAGGGTTAGCTAGGACTGGAACAGTAGTAGGGGCTGTAGGTCAGCCAAGGTGCACCAGTCCTGGGGCAGCCTAGAAATGTGACACAGACAGTGGTGCAGATCAGGACAGGAGCTAATTGTCTGAGCTATGGTGGGCAGTCTGCTTCCAGCCTGTCCTATAAATACTCTAGTGAGCCCATTCATACTAACAAAACTACTGAACATTTGCCCACTGTCAGCTAAGAGTCCCAGGGGTCTATATTGATATCTCAGACTTTTCCATACCTCTCTACTGCTTGATAACAGTTTCCTTGCTGGGTGCCAGATCCTTCTGCAGGGCACCAACCCAGTCTGCTCTGCCCTCATGTTTGTGAAGGGTGATAGATATTCCTGCTACCTGGATGACAAGAATGAGGGTGTAGCTTGCCCTTCAGGAAACAGCCCATCCCTAGGAAAAACCTTGGGCTGAGCTTGAAGAAAGAAAGTGCCTACATCTGACAGCTGAGAGGAGTTTGGGGAGGGTGGGTTGAGACACATAAGGAAGGTGAAGTGGAGAGTTCACAATACAGCTTGACAGAGAAATAGCAATGAAAGATGAATGGAGCAGCAGCTGCCCAGAAGACCATAGGTAAAGGGATCCACTCCCTCTCCATCACCCTACACCAGGATTCCACAATAATCACGACCACCTTCTGAAGGCAGAGGTACCTAAATGAATACTTCCTCAGATAACCTGCTGGGCAGCAGAGATCTCTAACATCCTGCCACATGCGCACAGAGCAAGGGCACACCGGGCCTGGGCAATCTTGAGGGAGAGATTTATGCTACAGACTTCTCATTCGCTGATCAACCAGTTGGAAATTGCTACCCAACTTCTTTGGAATAATTTGCAAGGAAGGTAGGGAATTGAAACTGACCGGTACAAGCAGATGTCAAGTTACAAGTAGATGTCTAATCCAGTAAGCGCTGGTATGCAACCAACACTTATGGCATTAGATTCCTAACCACTGGGGAGCACTTTCACATAGAAACCCAGCCATTGCATTGGTTGGGATGGCAAAACCTCATAAGTGTTATGAGGTGATAACCCATAACATCTATAGGAGTCAATGGCAGGAGAGGACCCATGTCCTTGTAAGTGAATAAGACATTATTATTGGTAAACTACCTCCTGCACCCAAAATAGCAGGAGATGATCTTAGGCTATGTGACCAAACACCAAGAATTACCAGAAGATAATGGCATCTATAAATTGCCAGTAGCATGAGAAGGCATGGCTAACATGCTGTGAATCTGAGACATTCCACATGCAATGGTCACTCACCTTGATATAAGTGTCAAGAGCTGGGTGAACCCGATTCACTGCCAGGTGGATAGACAAGGGTGTGGTGAATGGGAAGGTGGCCATGACCACATGGCTGGGAGCTGGAAAGGAAAAGATCTTGAAGCCAAACTTCTGGAAGAGCTGGATCATCTCCTCTGATGGCTTCTCCTCACCCTCACTCAGGATGCGCCCCACAGCATAGCGGCATTTCTCAGGCAGCACCTAAGCAAATAAATGAACAGGTGACATCAAGGAGGGAAAAAGGGCTGAAAAACATCTGAGCCAAGGTGGCCAAATTGTTCCACAATGACCTGCTGGACATGGGCAGGCAAAGGTTCCTCAGAAACCCAGCAGCTTTCTAACTTGCCAGGTGCTACAGCTGGACAAAGCACGAATGATGCATTGCAGCAAACTGGGGTGGGACAGAAACCAAAAAGCACCGCAGACTGCCAACCTGCCCCCTTACAAGCTTGGGCAAGGGAAAGCCAATCAGTTGACTTGTTTGTTCATTATGCTGATCCATAAACAATATCAATTCAATGACTCCAGAAAGAAAAACACTCAGGCAAATGCTAGGGGAATATCCATTATTTTATGTAAAGATAGTTGTAAATGAGAAGCTGGTGCAGTCCTTACTTGGGCAAAGGCATGGCACCTTGAAAACGAGTCTCCATGGAACTGGGCCAAGTAGAAGATTCTTCTATGGCCTCCCCAAGGTGGTTCATTTGTGAGCCAGGTCCCCCACCATGCTAGCAGAAACAGCACTTCATAAATATAGATCAATGAATCCTCACCACTCTGTGATGGGAAAGCAAGATCCCCATTTCACTGATGGGACCAAATGAGCTAAGAGTTAAAGGAACTCACCTACAACCATTGATCTCTGCTACCCAGTGTCAGCCAGAACCAGAGCTTGGAGCTCACACATCCTAGGCCTATTCAGATCATCTTTCTCTTCTAAGTCACAAAATGGCATTTAGCTTTACCCATTCCATAAAGCCAGGGGCCTGGGGTATAAGACTCAATTCTATTCTACTGCCACAAATTATTCTATTCTACTGCCTCTGTGTAACCATGAACAAGTCATGAGCTACTCTGTGCCTCAGTTTCACTATCTTTAAACTAAAAAGAGCACTCCTCCTTTCCCTTTGTGACAGCCCTCCCTTTGTGAGATCATTGGCTATTCATCTATCCAGAAAAGCCAAATGGGGCCGAATCAGTCATCACCAAACACCTTGCAATGCTGGCTATGAAACAGCAACAAGAGATTGATAGCCACTTCACAGGCTCCTTGCTCCTATCTACACATCAAGAACCATTCAGTGGCTCCTTTAACATATGTGGGCACTCCCATGTTAGGAATCTGCTGGCTGTATATTAAACAAGCTCTTGAAGTTTCTAAGGCCACAGTCCTGAGCTAGCAATTCCATCTAATCTACAAGCTATCACTTAATTGGCCTGCTTTACTGCACCCACTGATTGGTGTATTCAATTGACCTGCGGGATTTGGGCTAATGTATTTTCAAACCTCCCTACACAGGCAGAATCCAGACGGAGGGTGGGACCTGTTCCTCTGCGGATGGAAGGTGGCCAACATAGGGTTGTGAGCAGCAAAGTAATGTCATTGTACCAAGCTGGCACTTGGTATGGGTGCACAGTGAACATGACTTATACTGATCTGGTTTCTATGGGGACCAAATTCAGCTCAGTATAAGTGGGTGCAACTCACCATGAAGCCAGTTATGGCATTTGTGCCCACATCAAAGAGGAATCTGGACCCATGAGTGGTGGGGAGAGACCCAGAACCAGTTAAACAGCATGGGAGAGATTCTTCTTAGTTGCTTTTGCTACTCTGATCATTTATTTTGTACCCCCCCCCCGGCTACCACAGACCAAAGTGGGAATGTGACAGATATGGGTGAGCTACTCAGGCATGGAGCACATAGTATAGAGTCCAAATCTGTCCCCTTCCTGGTAGTCAGCTTTAGTCACTATTTTTTTAAAATATAGCACTGTTCAGATACAAACTTCTCTCAGCTTGGCTGTTTCCACAGCTCCTTACCAACACTGCTCAGCCCACACGCTGGATCCTTCCTATCTTGCTCTCTAGCCCATCCCATTTCCCTGTTGTTCAAAGTGGGTAAAGAATCCCATCCCCTCCCAGCCAGTGCCCGGGCCTTCCAGACTGATCCTTGTAGCCTGCTAGACAATGTCATATACTTCAGTTTTACAGTCAACTTCCCTCTGACAGATCAGTAACATCACTGATTAAGTTCTCAATGAATTTGGCTCAGAGCCTTACTACACCACCCAGAATTTGGGCCCCAAAATGTCAGCACATCATATACACACAACCATCCCATAGGAAACTGTGGGGCGCCAGAAAAAAAGCCCTCTAATTTGACTAAAATGGAAAGAGAAAAACATTCACTCTTTGCAGATGACAAGCAAAAACTCTTGGTGCAAACTCAAGCTCTCAAAAAATTGAGCACCGCTTTAAATAAGTCCAAGACAAGCAGTAATATCCCTCAGTTTACAAGAGAAGGAACCAAGGCACGGAGCAGCTGGGGTTGGCTCAAGGATCATACCCAGAGTCAGTGGCAGGGTTAGGGAAGGACCTTGGGCATCCTGCCACGCCAGCCAGAAGGCCAGCCTGCCTCTCCTTGGTGGAGGCTTCCCCTCAGCTGGTCCGCAATGACCTCTCAGCTCACGTGTAAGGAAAACAGAGAGGTTAAGGTCCTGACCAGGGAGTCAAGCTTGAAAGAACCAGACAAAACAAACTGTTGACTGCCTCCTATCTTGGAGACTTCCATTGCCCCAGTCCCTGGCGTGTGCGAGTATCTCCCAATCTCTAATGTGGTTACCTCTCCACACTCCCTGAAGGCAGGAAAATGCAGTTATCTGTTTCACAGATGGGAAATTGAGGCACAAAAAGGGTGTGTGACTTGCCCGAGGTTCCTCTGAATCTGCAGAGGAGCAGATAACTCAATCCGGGTCTCCTGCATCCCAGCCTAGTGCCCTGCCTCCCAAACTGTCTTTCTAGAGCTCCTCACCCTCCTGAGGCTCTGCTCAGCAAAGCTGCCTCGCAGCACTCCTTCTGGGGAAGCCTGTCCAACCTAGCCCTCCTCAGCCAGGGGAACTGTGGCCATGAACAAAGGGCTTCCAAGAGAGAGGGAGCATCACTACCACAAAGGTCTATCTCAACCACAGTCTAGCCTGCTCCAGCTGGTTGTTTCCAAGCTCTGTGTCTTTGTTAGACAAAGCAAGATCACTATCAAAGGCTGCAGCCAGAGCATCAACTACAAAGAACCAAGCGAGCGGCGTTCTGCCACTCGCTAGACCCAGGGGTAGCCGCTCTAGAGCCACTCTCACCCAGGCAGCATCCACAGGATGACAGACCCCTTATCAAACTCCTTGCTTCCTCCATTAACAGGACTAGAATTTACTGGTGGTTACATTGCTGTGTGCCTGTTGCAAAAGTGGCTGGAGAACTCAGCTAAGCTGGCCGACTCTGGAAAAGGAAACCTGGGTGCAGGCTGCTGGGTGGAAGGTAAATGGAGTATAAAAGGGGCGGCCTAAGCTTGGTGAGCGGCAGAGACAGTTTGCCCTTCACCTGGGAGAAAGCTGGGTGAACTGTAGGATTCAGCAGAGTCCATGAAAGGAAAGTGCCTACAACACACAGGCACAAAATACCTCCCAGCGAGACTGACTTGGTACCAGCATGGCTCCCATCACCACAGCCTCTCAGCAACTCCCAGGTGGTTAAAAATAGAAACAACAGCAATCTGTCTCTTCTGCTTCTTTTTCAACTCATAGGAGAAGAAGCTGGATTGGCATTTGTGCAAGTGCATGAGAAGGGCGGTGTGGGTACAAGAAGACCTCACTGAAGTGAAGCTAGGTCCTGCTGATGGGCTGGACCCTCTCACCATGTCCTGTAGCCATGGTACAACCCCCAGGAAGCTCCATCACCTGCACCAATGAGCCCCCATCTCTTGGCTGACGGTGTCATTTCCCAAAGGAAATGACGGGTCCTGAGGAGCCATCGGCACCGAGCAGAGTGGGTCTCTGAGGTAACCCGGTTGCTCCTGTGGAGAAGAGGTTCCCAACCCCTGGGCCACAGCCTGATACTGGGCCACGATGGCTTGGCTGCTGGACCAGCAGTCCAGAAGTGACCGGCATACTGCGGACCGGCAGCCATATACTGAGTATAAAAAAGGATTGGCTGCCAGTCCGCAGTATGCCAGTCACTCAGTATGCTGGTCCACAGTTTGCCGGTCTGCGGTCACTTCCAGTCCATGGTTTGCCGGTCCGTGGTCTAAAAAGGTTGGGAACCACTGAAGTAGAGTATTCCCTCTTCTCCCACTGCTGTCCTCTGAGTACTGTGCTTCTGTGTCTGGGGAGGGGCGTGCTTGGACACAACAATGCCCACAGCAGTAGCAGAGGAGATAACAGTGCTTCATCCGCTCTTACACCCCTGGCTTTCTGGGTCATCACCGTGTTCCCCTCTAAGCACTGCCATTCCAAAATCTTAGGGAATGGACCACGACAGCACCAGCCCTAACTGACCATCAGATGGGAAGGGGAGGCAAAAAGGCCAGGCAGCCAAGGCTGACAGGGCAATAGAGGCCATGCCCTCCTCCATCTGCAGAGATGTTTCTACTGTCAGCCTGCTCTAATCAGGTTCTTATACGGACTTCCTCGCTGCAGTGTCTCAGCCCCTTCCAGAAGGCACTGCCATTTGGGTTTCCCTTCCCAAGGCCAAACCATGGGTCTATTTATTCCAAATGTTTAAGTCATTTAATACATCACCCATTGCGCTACATATGTGTGGGGAGTGGAGGGGTGGCAGAGCAGCACACCTTGCACCAGGGGCAGAAGGTGCTGCTGAGGATGCAGGGTCTTAGCTCTTGAGGGGCTTGTGCCACTGCTCTGCCTCCCGAGCAAACCACCTTTCCCCTTGCAGAGGGCAACTGTATGATGCCCAAGAAGCACAGCTGCTCTCTGGGGTCCTGGTCCCAGAGCTAGAGACAAACTTTTAGGGTTGAGGTAAAACTAGAGAGGGGGGAAATTGGCACTGTTCTCAGGCCAGAGGTACTAAGATATAAAAAAAGGAAGAAGAGCTGGTGGACAAGGCAGGGGTGAAGAGAGACAAAAGGCAAGGGAGAGAACTTTGCTAAAAGTAAAGTCTGCAACAATACTGGAAGAAGCTTGGAAAGCAACCA